GGGGGGGGGGGGGTAGGGTTCAAATGAGAACACCCAAGTTCTACGAAAATGCAAGAACACATTTGTGCCTCCAAATTAATTAACATAAAGTTATCCATAATTTTCTGTTATCTTGGATTTTTCCTTGTCTCTAAAATTTTGTTATTATATTTAGAGATTTTTTTATTAGACATGGGAATTGGCCCCGATCCGTCAGGGAACCCGGTCCACCCGCTTAGGTCGGGGACAGGGATTCCCCGTTAAACCGAGTGTTCAGGATGGGGACGAGGATTCCCGTTTGGCTCAAACTGGATATTGGGATGGGGATGGGTATCGCATTCCCCATCCCTTATAAATTATATTTATATATTATTTATTATTAAATCAGTAAATAGTAATTTCTATTCCAATATATTTTGATATTATTAGATGTGGTGTTGGATATTACTCAATCTGTCTTGGTATATGTGACATTATTTTTTTAGATTAAATTTAATTTCTTTTGGTTTTCGATTTATTGATTATTATATGATGATGTATATTTTTTGTATTAAATTAAATTCGTTTTTGATTTTAGTTTATTGAAAAAATGTGAGATTTAAACATGTATGACGTCTTACACATTTGATTTAAAAAAGCTTACACAAAGGGAAAATATTCCACGGAAAGAGGGGATGTGATCAAATTCCCCGGCGAGGACGGGGACAGGGAACCCCTCCCCGTTATCATGCCTACTACTTTTATGTCGATACGTCCGTTGTCGATAATAATGTGATAATGATCTGATTTTGACATGATAAAAATGTGATAATGATTTGATAAGTTGAAGATTTTTATGTTGTGATTTTGATGTGATAATCATCCAATAATTATGTGATTTTTTGTTGTGAAAATAAAAAACAAACGATGATCACGTGTACATTCATCGCTCTGTCTGTTCATTATGATATTTTGCCGTCAAATAATGTGATAGTTATTTGATACCGGTTAATATATTATATGTATGTGATTTTAAAGATAAGGAAGTCACCAAAATTACAGATAAATACGAAATCACATGATTATCCTTAATTAATTAATTTATTTTTTTCTGACTTAAATAATTTTGAGTCCCATAAATGTTCTCACATTCTCGTAAAACATGAGTGTTCTCGTTACATCCACCTATATGTAAGGGTCATTCAAACAGTGCAATTTGTGAGATTCATTGATCTAATATGAACCACAAGATCATATTAAATTAGGAAATTAGTAATTTTTGTTTGTCCAAGTGTTTACGAGATCCTTCCGATCTTTTATCACGAAAGATGAAAATGGTGTGTCAGTTCATTATAAATATTATATACTTGAAAAAAGTGCACAGGTCTAAGAACCTAATTAGCAAGCTATGCACAAACACAGTCACAAGATGCAAAACAGCATAACAAAAGAATATGTCTAAGACCCAAAACAACAAGAACTTACCGTTAGATGTCTCGAGACAGCTGGTTGCAAGACTTGCGTAGCTTGTAATCCGGAGAAGCACTTTCCTCACCAAGCTTGTCTTTTGGCATATAAAATCAGTGCAATTTCGTGCTAAAATTGACCAAGAGACTTCAATCTGGGAAGTGAGCAGCACAAACGAACAGAAAAGAAACTATTTAAATTAACAGCCATGCAATCTAGAAAAAAATCAAGTTAAATGATCCCACACTTATTCCAAGTATCAAAATGCTTATAGTTCAAGTGCGGCATTAAGCCCCTTAAAAACTGGAATGATGGTTCAGTTAAATGTCAAAATTTAATACAGGAAGTAGAACTGGACTTATCATTCAGCTCCAGCGGTAAACAGCCATAAATCATCATGGAAAGAATATAAGTATATAGACACAGATATTAGATATATAACTCTATTTTCTACATATTTATAGCATGTGTGCACCTCCTCAACAAGTTCTCCACCATGAACAAGTCTATGAATCTTTGATGAAGCATAAAACATGCCTGATTTACAGGAAAACAATAAGTAAAAAACGACATACAGGTGAAGGGTTCTGACCCATATAACAAAAGGCAGGTAACTAGAATACCATAGTCACCGGTAGCCTCATTGCCATTGTGCTACAAAACTCAATGTTAAATGACAAAATAAGGTAAATAAAAACATCAAGGGGCTGTTTGGCCCTTGCTGAATAGTTTTGTGCAGAATCATTAAGTGGTAGAATGATTAAGAGGCTATCGTAATATTGTGCAAAATGAAATATAATTGTTTAATAATTGTTTACAATGAAATTAGGGTTCTTAATGGTTAAGGGAGGCCTGGATACAAAATCATTTGGAGGGTTAAAGTTGATGAAAACAAAGGCTTGACTACACTCATCTAACTAACAAGATTGTTGATTCATATTGTTGGCTATAACTCTTTCTTCCAGAAATATTAGCAAACACCAGAGCAGTACATACTGATGAGTTCCCCTTAAGAATCAAGTTCTCGTAATCTAGCTAACCCTGTTGCCACCTACAACTTCAACTTCAAATGTTTGATCAAGACCTGATGGTGTTTTTGATTTATACACAGGAATACGTTGCATAATTGGCGATAAAAGACTTCAATTCGTACAGTGAAAGTATGGATACACAAACGAAACCCTAAAGACAGACCCTCAAATCCTCAATATAATCTACGAATGTAGCCTTAAGTGCGATCAGGAACTCAAATTACAGAGAGAAAGAAGAAATAGTACCTCTTAGGAGAAGATCCTTGAAGTCCGTGTTGTAGTTCCAATAGAATGGTAAGAGATGATCATTGACATTGTTGATGATTATCAGATGGATTAGAAAGGGGTCAAATCAGGGTTCGTCTCGATCTCGAAGGAGAAAAACCAAATGATTAGCAACACACGATGTACGCATAGTCATAGATAGCAAATATTCCAATTCAACGGTTTTTAATTAATATCATTAATTGCAAATTTAAAATATTTTAATTGAACAAAACGTTATAATTGGTTAAAATTTCAAACATATATAATAGGGTAAAGTTAAATTAAAACCGTATATAATTCCTTAAAAAACATGTATAATCAGGCTAGAAAATTATATGAGTCTTATTTCATATGTCATATTAGAACATTGTCTTTACAGTCATTTGTTGCTCATTTAATACAAAATGTTTTGGGATATATATGTGCATATTTCTTTCATCAATTTGTTCTGACTTTTGTAGAATTACCTTCCATACAAACAAAAGCGATAAATGACGAATAACAATACGTGAGGTCATTGGTCATATGGGTCAAATTCGATGTCATAAGCACCCAACTCCACTGCCATATGTATCTTACAAGCATCGAGCAAAGCTCGTCATACAACTATAGTTGGGGTACTAGGTTTTCTCTAATAGAACTTTCAGCATATATGATCAAATACAATTTGATCAACTTAGTATATCAACGATCATTACATAAATGCAGAACATCATATAACAACCAAGACCCATATCATTGAACTATCCCAATTAGCTTTTAGTTAATCTAAAATAATTGTGGATGTTATTACTAAACTTTTCTATCTATCAATGTGAGACGAGTTGTCATAAACTTGCTTACTTAAAATCTTGACATCCTCATGCTCCATGTTGAATTAGTTCATCATTTCGATGTAATGTTGTCCCAATTTCCATTAGTCCACTATAGCTACAAAGAACTGGTAGCAGTATTACCTCTAGCGACAGACTGCCATGTCCTAAATTGTGGAACCGCAAAACCAATAACCAAAAGTACCACTAGCCCATAAGACTTGGGTCTTTAATAATTCTTCTCAAAGATCACCGATTCGAGTCCTGCAAGGCCGCTGAGGATTTCTTGGCTTTTCTCTGGACGCCCTAGGATTAGTCGAGGTGTACACAAACTGACCCAGACACCATGATTAACAAAAAAAAAGTATCACGAGCTTACCATCTAACTCGAGTAGCATGTAAAAAACTCATGGAATCCTTTGTGAATCAAACATACACTCATACAATAGGAAAACATCTCCTCAAATCTAAACTTGAATATTTCTAATAGAAATACTAAAACATAAAACGGTTTCAAATACTGTTCCATATAAAAAAAACAAAGTAAAAATGTTGAATTTTCATAATATGTCATTTTACACCACTTTTTATTATAATAAGAAGACAACATTTGATCTAAACATTTTTTGTCTTTTCTTTATTTAAACTTTGTTACTAGTCATAAGAATATTATTAATAAGAGTTGACTTTTTTTTGTATGGTATCAATTAATATAGTGAAAGGGGTAAGTCGAAAATCGAAATTGACAAAGCAAAATGTTTGACTTTGACTTATCTTTATGTTGACTCGTTGAGCAATATATTTAACCAGTAAGGCCGTGACCATCCTTTTTTGTCAAATTAATTTACGTACATTTTTATAATTGGGTGAGCATACATCAACCATTAATATAATTAGTTGGTAATATGAAAATTTTGTATCTAAAATGTACGAATCTAAATGAATATTTTTTATACGTGTCAAAATTAAATATTATTTTTTACATTTTTAATCTATAAATTTAATTAAATCGAAATATTTTTAGAGTGTTCTTTTAATAGGATCAAGTAAAAATATCTTTAAGTAAGTCATGTTCTCATTTCACACACACTACTGTGTGTGAACCTGTTTGACTATAAATACCCCATAAGTGATTGGTTTGACCAATGAAAAGTCAAATCAAAGGGGTTGAAGAGAAAGGCAAAGAAACAAGAAGGGTTGTGAACCTTCTACCAAGAAGAGGTGAAGTCAAAGCAAAAAAAATTTGGTCAATCGATCATGGATGTCAAAATTGCCACATTTAAATCTCTTTTTTCGTGTTATCAATTTTCTTTCAAAAATTAATTGAGTCATTTCACTTGACTTTTTTAAAATTAATAAATTATTTTTTAGTAAAAACGTGTAACACCCAAAATTACATTTGCATATTGTTAGAACCAGTGTTATGGTACCGGACTTATCATAAACTAGTGTAAATGTTATACGTGCACTCGAATGACTAAAAATCAAGAAAAACGAACTAAACGTGTATATGTATATATGTTCATATAACATATATGTATCATGTAGAGTAAGATAACATACTTGGAAATTGGAATCAACGATTGAAGATAAACAGATAGAGGCATGCTTCTGCAGTGTCCTTAAACAGAATTTCGCCCTACTTGTCCGTAGTCCGAAAGTCCGTTTAGAGGATACAACTATCTAATTCGCGTTTTTGCATGAGAACGTGAATATGTCGACATTCCTATGTATTCATGGATCGTATGTGTAGGAAGAAACCAGAGAAAACGAAGGAATGCTGTTGTGTATTCTTTTACTGTATATCGAATTTTTGAGGGAAATGAAAACCATATTAATGGTTGGCAAAAATCCCAACAAATATAAACATATATTTTCATATATGAAGAAATGCATTACAAAGTTGCTACCAAATTTTTCAACAAAATCCTTGTACAAAACTTGTATACATAACAAGTATTCAATTATAAAAGATAATATGTTATCCTAACATCTCATGCAAGCATATATAACTCTTCACAATTTCTCTTTCCCTTATCATTTGGTTGTGCCCGACCTGTAATGCATATTTTCAAAACACCAAAAATGAGGGTTAAACCTTGAGATCTAGTGAAAAATCTTTTTGTTTGCTATGACAGAGTGAATAATCAACAAACACTTTTATAAACTCATATTTGTATCATTAACAAATAAAACAACATTTTAACCAACAAACATCTTTTGTTGCATCTAAAAAATGAGATATCATCAATTTATCGTATTAAATATCCAAACAATTCATTTATCACATTCTGATTGAACTCATCGCATCATATAGATAAAAACATAAATTCCTCGCATCTTATGAGTGAGACAACCCTATTTCCTCGCAACACACTGTGTGAGGATCCATCTTATCGCATCATATAAGTGCAATAAACCCCATTTGACGCATCACACTAGTGCGATAAGTCAATCTTGTCACATCACAAGGATACGACAAACATATTCCTCGCATTACAAGGATGTGATAACAACTATTCATCGCATCAATAGGATGCGGTAAATTAAGTCATTGTACCACACAAATGCGACAATTCAAAGTCATTGCATCATAAACATGCGACAACAGTTAACAGTTTGATCAAAAACCCATATTTTACATTCCATTGATTATGTCACCCTTATTGTGGTATACATCTCTCTTTGATATGCCACCCTTATAACCAAAATACACATCTCTTTGATATGTCATCCTTATTCCGTTCACTTGATATATATACATATCCAAATACCACAATTATGTTAATTAAAGCATCAAAAACAGTTTTATATCAGCCCACCTTATAATCACAATGGGATGTAGATATAAAGATGAAAATCACAACAAATATCCAGAACAAAGATTTACAAAACTTAATTTCTACTTACATCCTCTTTTGGTTTATGTTACCTTCGTACTCAAGAATACACACACATACACAAAGAAACTGGTTTCTTTTTGCTTTTTACCTCTTCTCATAATCATAAACAATCAAATAAATCGGTGGAACTTCAAAAATAAATTAAGCACATTAACCCAACCAACCTCTCAAGCTACCACCCTTAATCAAAAACAACCCCGAGCTTTATCACCAATATGGTGTTAGAAAGTTGATGCCTACTATAAAAAGATAGATTTTTTGGTCCTTTTTGGTTATGGTGTTAACGTCATGATGAAAGTCCTTGAAACTTTTACTAGACAAAAACCGTTGTACCGCAACCCTTCCATCCAACACTTTTGTTGTAAACCACTGTGGGCTTGAAGCTTAACCATGAACTAAACTTGACCATCTAAACTCGACAAGCGACAAGTATGGAAAAGACTAATACATTGATGAATGGTGTTATTGATGATGAACGGTTGATAATGTCATCAATGTTCGTTATGGGACCTCTGATTCTCGATCGAAAACCCGTCACCAAAGAAACACCAAATCACTAAATTCCAAGACTATCTTTCTTATTAATAGCTTTCATATCTTCACAAAATGTTAATACAATATCCTATGTATTTTAAATTGTAAACCACAAGGGTAGTTCTCAATTGGTTTGACTTTGAGCTCAAAAGTGTCTGGAGGTTATAAGTTCAAATCCAATGAGAAATAAAAATCCCCTTGGGCTACCCGCGAAACGGATGATCGCTCTGGAATTAATCGGCTCGTATAATGGGTTGGATATCCAGATTAATTAAAAAAAAAGTTGTAATGTTCAATTTTTACTTGTCCAGGTTTACGAGATACGAGTCTAACATGGTATTTTTTGCGAATTGATAAGTCAAACAATACAAAACTTGACTTTTGGTGTGGGCTTAACGGCTTATCAATTCTATATCCTTCGACTTTTAACATGTTTAATTAGAGGTTGTTTATCGTAGTGGCGGATCCAGAAACTTTTATTATTGGAGGGCACATTTAAGAGTGTCAAAAAATCTGAAACCAAATAACTCATTCGAACCAATACGATTCCGGGTTATTTGGTTTTCGGATTAAACGGTTCAGTTATCGAATAAATATAACTTATTCGGTTTGGTTTTCAATTAATTTTTGATAAACCGAGACATCATATTGCCATGTACATATTTTACTTTTCGGTTAAATCAAAGCAAATGAACACACTACACATTAATAGTTAGTAGCAAGAAATTAAAGGGCAAGAGGTCCATAACTGAGATTCAGTTAAAAAGAAATCAGATAGCAAAGAGTCAAGAAATCAAAAACAAAAGACAAACTAGTAGCAAACCTTAAATCAAAATAACAAACCCAAATTAAAT